CCCGGCCCACTGCCCTTTAATGTATGTAGCATAGGAATTGATATACTGTATAGCTGCAGACACATGGGTTGGCATTGTTAATGATGTGAATCAGTAGAGCATCTTAGCCTCCACTTGCTAGGACACTCAACAGACGTAGAAGAGGCATGGCTGAAAAGATATTTGCACTTCAGCAAACAGTACTTAGTTTGCTGAATAAATAAGCGAGTGGCCCGTTTTCAAGTAGCGGCTGTCAAAACGTCTGTCTGCATGCAAGTACCCAACAGTCACCAAGAGACAAAAGCAGACAAGGAGACGGGAGGGTACTCTGTCTCATGTGGCTGAAAGAGGTGTTTGAGGGAGGCGTTGGGTTTTGGACCTCGTCACGCAGAGCTGTCCTGCCTGATTGCTCAGTTCAGTAGCTCAGGTCAAACCCCAACGATGGCCGATTGAGAAGAGGCGCGAGCCAAATAGTGTGCTTTGTTGGGAGAACGAAAAGCCCTCCCTCTCTCCGCCGAGAATGAGCTAGGGAGCCGCTCTGGAGGTGAAGATGGGCGGGGGGCAGGGGGTGGGGGAGAAAAGGAAACATGCCAGAGAGTTGGCAGGAAGAGTGATGTTTTTAGGTAGGGCCAGCTCAGGATTAGGAAATCGGTGAGATTAGGGGGACCTCAGGGGACCTCCCCCTGAGCTTTGCTCCCACTTGGCTTTGCTTGGACCTTATGTCCGGTCCTTATACCAGTAGCTCTCACAGGCTCCTCCAGTTCATGCTCATGTCTGCTTCAAGGTATCGGGAAACCACAGAACACACATTATTGATAGCGAAATTCAATCAGGCCAGCATGAAAGCTTTGCAGAATCAAAGGCTGCTTTATTTTAAATCCAAAATATGTGAAATCAACAGCTAAACAGGGATTAGCAAGCTGAGATATGGATATTAACTTTTATTTTTCTACAGTGCGCACAGCTGACTTCTCTTACCTGTTTGCTTAACAAAAGCACTGTTACTCGATTTCACATTATAGGGGAGGAAGATCACTTTATTGGCCATATACAGTTTCTCTCATTAGGAATTTGTCTTTTCACATACCTTAACTTGCTCTCCATGAGACACACAGACAGGGACAGAAGCTTGGGGTCAGAGGGCAGGGTCAGCCATTTATACAGCACCCCTGGAGCAGTTGGGGTGAAGGTCCTTGCTCAGGGGCCCAACAGAGTAGGATTCCTCTGCCTGCCATGGGATTTGAACCAGCAATCTTCTAGCCACAGGCACAGATCCTTAGCCATAGAGCCACTGTACCGCCCAATAGGGAGGTAATATGTGTTAATACTAAATGTGGTGTTAAATTTCCGTTATATCCTTTGGATGTTTTATTAGAAAAAAAATAAGCTTGTAAGGTTTACCATTCTAAGGACTAGGCAATATCAGAGAATCGGATTTTAAATAGATACAGAAGAGACTGCCTTTGGCTTATTTATCAATAAAGTCATTAAACCATATTCATTTCATAACTTATTAGCATTGAACATTCCCATGGTGCCCCTGGTCTCATTGCAGTTTGTTTAATAGCCATCCAAAGCTTTTTCTTGTCTTTTTTATGCCAGACAGCAGAAAAATGGGCAGATCATTTTTTTCTCTGTTCTCCTGCTGATAATGGTGAAGCTGGAAGACTGCATAATTACAGCATTTCTAACGAAGCTCCCCAATTTTGCTTTCCATCTGCTTTTTATCGGCTCTAACTGGGAAAATGATGTGAAGTCTGCCTTATCTTGATATGGTTTCATTTTAAAAAATGACATCTCTGAGTTAGCGATTCGATCTATATTACTGTCTAAATCTGTAAGACTCAGGCATGCAGAACATGCACAAGTATTATCTCTGCTTCTGGCTCTAAAAGCCATTTCCTGTATTGAAATACATTGCAAATGATTTAAATAATGTTAACAGAATGTGTGTCCCTGCTGATGAATCAGTAGTTTTGCAACTGGCTTAGTATGGTGTCACTGGGAAGCTGAGTTAAAGATAGCTTCCTTTCTGTAGTGTCCCCAGTTTGTTACCCGATACTAAGTCAGAAACTGTTTCCTCTTTAGAGTTAGTCATTGGCCCTACATGATCCACATGGCCAAGATGTTGGCATCTGATACATTAAGAAATGATCATTTTGTGGGTGTTTGAAGCAGTCCTACGTGCCTGTGTATTCAAGACATTCTTGAAACAACTTTGCCGAAATCCCAAATTGCACAGTTACAGCGCTGCCGAAAATGAGCCTGATCGTCACCTGATATGTAATATCCTCCTGTTACCTTGCAAATGCATTTGAATTACATGATTGCTGGTGCTTAATTACATTTAGGAGGTCTGCTCCACAGTTGTAAAAGAAGCAAACCCAGCCCCTGCTCAGTGGTTATAATCCTAATGGTTGCTGAGCTGTACTGTAGCATCTTTACGGTCAGCTGTAAAGTCAGCAATAACTGGCTTTAATGTGTCACTCAAGGTATGAAGTAGTTAATGTGGCCCCAGTGCATCTATTCCACATAGAAATCACTGCACTTGCTAGAGCAGGCAATGAAATGCTTTCAGTAATGCACAGTGAAGAGGGTATTGTTTTAATTTCAACCCTTTAGTCATAATTAGACGTACGCAGTATATTTATTTTAGATCGTTGTAGATGCTGGGATAATGATCTTTCGGTGTTTCTCTCGGCTTCAGAAAGCAGAACGCCCAGTCTGAGCGTTGTCTTCTGTGGGCGATCACACCGGGACGCGGCCACGGATCTTCGCAGTGGAAGGGAACCGCCAAAGCTGAGAAATGGCCAACTGTTGCCAGCAATTAAAGGTTGCAAATGAAGTATTAATCAGCGCTGGCTGTGGCCCAAGCCGTGAAAAGGGGGCCCGGGCGAGCGAGATCACAGCTTGCTTCTCCTGGTGCAGGTGGTGTACACGTGTCACGCTGCCGACAGCAATGGATCACACCAGCCCACGTCACTCCGCCGCCCAGGTTGCTAATGTGGCAGGAAGGCAGGCAGGGGGGCTCAGCAGTTAGAGAAATAGGGTTGAAGACAAAGACTCTCAAAACGTACACCGCAAAACATGCATTACATTTGCCCCGCTCCTAAAAATATAAAATATCGTGTTTAATAAAAAAAACTAATGGAAGAGAGACATGTAAATGAGCAGAATTTGGAGAAAGGAAAAGGTTGTGTTTCTTCTTTCTGCTTTTCAGCATGGAATAAACTCTCGCTTGTTGCTTTGCAGCAGGGACACAAACTGTGCACAACTGTGCGCAAAGCAAAGCACAGTGACCTCATGCTGAAGGTGGTGAGCTCATGCCAGGACATGCTCTGGCCTCTCGTTGAGCACTCTGACCTCACATCGTGCACTCTGAGCTCATGTTGAGCACTCTGACCTCACGCTGAGCACTCTGACCTCAGGCTGAGCACTCTGACCTCACGCTGAGCACTCTGATCTCACGCTGAGGAATCTGACCTCACATTGCACAGTCTGACCTCACCTTGAGCACTCTGAGCTCACGCTGAGCACTCTGACCATACATTGCACACTCTGATCTCACATTGAGCACTGAGCTCACGCTGAGTACTCTGACCTCACGCTGAGCACTCTGATCTCACACTGAGGACTCTGATCTCA